AAACTTACTAAAGATTGAGCTAAATCTTGCTGCTACTCAATTGATTATGTGTTTCAGTCCGCCTAATCATTAGTTGGGTAATAGTAATTATAAATTAAAATGTTGATCAATAAAATTAGTATTATGTGATATGATATGTCACATCTAAAAATTAGGAGTAAATTTAATAATTATGAAAAGATATTAAATTATTAAAGATGGTTCCCATAATTATTTTTAAAATTTTTAAATAGTTGCAACTTAAGTTGCAACTTTTTGAGTTGCAACTATTTATAAATTTTTATATTAAAATAAATTTACAAGAGTTACAACCAAGTTGCAACTTCTTAATTATAGTGTCCATCTTTATAAATCATAGTTAGGAAATTAGTTATTTTTACATAGTCATGATGTAGTAATTATGCAATGAAATATGTAGTAATAATTGTATAATGATTAAATATTTAAAAGCAATTCTTATGTAATAATTATCTAATATATCTGTAATCTTAGATTAATTTAAAATGTATAAATAAGACAAGTTAGAATTATTAAAAAGGAGATGATCTAGAGAAGTAATTAATCTAAGAGGAATGTAACACAATGAATTGATTAAGCAATTACTTATAATGTTATAATATTTTAATAAAACACTTTCTTTATGTTTAACAAAATTATTCTTTTATTTATTTCTTGTAATATTTGTATAACTTACTTGTGTATCACCTCTATCATGATTCTTTAAGTCTTCATACTTAAATGAATCATCATGTGATTTAGCTTAAAAAGGTCATGATGAATTTATAATCTTTGATAACGGGTAGCAACAGCAATCAAGGATATTTCATCAAATCAACTTAAAGTTTGTAACATAATGAACTCAATCTCAGATTAACTGTTTATCATATTCTGACTATAATAATCCCTACTAAAAAATTTATCTTATTTTACTATAATAATATTTAACATCTTTTTGTAATATAATCTTATAGTATTTTTTCTTTTAATCTAATAAATAGTTATAGACTTATTATAATAAATTTATTAACTATTAGTTTATAACTTTAATTTTTATTAAAATATTTATATAAAAAAATATTCTATAATATTTTTTAAGAAAAAGCTATCTAAGCTAAAGATTATTTAATAGTTATCGAATTTTTATATATTTGAAATTAAACTATTTTTTTTATAATTTTTATCTAACTAAACTGAATTTTAAAGAATTTTTAAAGTATTACTATATTATCAAATAAATTTATCATATCTGTAATATCAGCCAATTTCAATTTCAGCCTTTTTGGGGAAAGCGAAATTAATTTTAATTTTACCATTTTCCAAATTTTTTTAACAAAATTAAAAAACGAGATACTAAAGGAATTTATAATGATATGAGTAATAAGAACAAAGGATATCAAAGAAACAAAAGTAATTGTAATATTATTAGGGTTTATTCAGATTCAAATTAGACATTTTTCGAAATTCAATTAACATTCAAATATCCAATAAATCGGTCGGTCAGGAATTGAAAACGATATCATAAACAGATTTCGAAAATTTAAACATCCTATTTTCAATACATTTAATTAATCTAGGGTGCATAAAATAATAAGATATATCTATCTGACTTCGAAACCAAATCAGTGCTATCAATATAAAGAAAAGCTCCATTTTTAAATAATTGTAAATTTTTCAACCAAAATAAACACTATAAATACTTTATAATATATTAATAAGACTTTTATTTAATTAATGTATCAACGTATTTACCATAATTAAATGAATCCAATCTGTAAAATAATTTTATTATGATTAAGAAATGAGAAAATGTACAAACTATAAAAGATATGTAATTTGACAATCGAAAATCAAAGTTAACCTTATTTGCAACATCCAATGCTTCTACATCAGGTGTAAGACGAACGTAAGCCTTCTTGGTTCCGTTTGGTCTAATGAGGAAAGAATTATCAAAGTTATTAATTTGATCGTAAACTCGTGAAGAGTCTGTGGGGCTGTACCTTATCAATGTATTAATCTTTAGAGCATCAACATCATAAAGTTTCTTCACCGCTTCCTTGATTTGACGCTTATTAGCTTGGGTATCAACGATGAAAACAAGTGTATTTGTATCCTCAATTTTCTTCATTGCAGATTCGGTGTTTAATGGGTTTTTAAGAATTTTGTAATGATCAAGACGACGTGCATGAGGAATGGATTTGCGTGGATATTTAGGTGATCGCGATAAACGCAAAGTCCTTGGACGATGGAAAGTCGTGGAGGTACGGGGCTTCTTTTTTTCCTTACTAATAACCCCTTTCGTAATAGCTTTCTTAGCTATAAGTGCCTTGGCCTTTTCCTTAGATTTACCCTTGGATTTATTGTCCTTGGGCTTTTCTTTGGAAGTACCTTCTGGTGCGGCAGCGGTCTTTTTAGGTTTTTCGGCTATATTAAAATTAATTAAATGGAATAATTTAAATTTCGAAATTTCATTCAAAAAAAAAATATAAAATATAAAATATAAAAAAAAATAAAAATAAAAATCATCATCCATTCTTTCATCTAAACTTTATATCTCTTATATCCAATGATGCATTTGAATTTTTCAGTTGATGATAGCTTAAATTAATTAAAGACTTGCCTGGTTTCTTGGGAGCCATTTCAAATTTATTGACCGTCGGAAAAGAAAGAACTTGATTTTTATTTAATAATATAATTTATATCAAAAATCTCTTATGCAATGATTATCCAATGATATCAAGTAGTATTTTGTCCCACCATTCAGATATCTTGAATCGCGTTTTTTCGTCTCAATTTTATAAATACATTATTTAATATTTCTTTATACATTCGTGTGGCCTATAATGACCTCTCTTCAAGGACCAAACAATTTTGCTGATGACGGTAGCGCCATTATAGAGCGCGTACTTGATGTGAAAAGCCAAAGATTGGCGAATTCTGATAAACAATTAGAAGAAATTTATGAAATTGACAGAACCATGAAAGCATTAATGGACGGTGGGTTTGATAAGGTAAAATTCTAAAGTTATTTTTTTTTTTCGAAAGCTCATTCGCCTGTTATACTTTAATAATACTTTCCAATTATTTTTTATATAAAGGTCGCACTACAGTTTCCTGATGAATTATTGGCCGATTCCGTTAAAGTTGCTACAATTTTAAGAGAGAAAATCAAGAAAAAGATTTTTATTCTGGCGGATACTTCATATGGAAGGTAAAAAATACAAACTTTATCTTATGTCGGAAATTTAAATTAATTGACTTTCATTCTCTCTTATATTATATATAAAGCTGTTGTGTAGATGAAATAGCAGCTCAACATGTCGACGCAGAATGTATTATTCATTATGGCCGTTCATGTCTAAGCCCGTAAGGACCGATCTGTTTGTTTTCATTTTCATATTTTATCTTGTGAGCATTAACATAACTTTACGTTTTGAAAGTACTTCGCGACTTCCCGTATTATACGTGTTTGGAAAACAACCTATCGTCTTAGTTCATTGTTTAGAGTCATTTGATGAGTTGTTTAAACAGGACAAGAATCAACCATTACTTATAATGTATGATGTCGTTTACTCATATTGCATAAGTAAGAAAAGTTTTTTAGCTGTAATACTTTTTAAAAAATATTCTTAATAATACTATTATTCATAGATGATTTCGTCCTTGAATTGCGTAATGGAAAAAATTATACAAATATTATCCAGTCCTTTGTTATGTTAGAATTTAATTTTTTAAAAGGTATGATATAAATTGACACATTTTAAGTCTACAATGTAAACTCTTGATTATTTGATATTTTTACTTTCAATGTTTTCATTAATTATTTAGTCATTTTATTTTTTAGATACACCAGTTTCAAACCATCGAGGAAGGCATTATTCATTACCAGAAAACACTTCAATTGATAATTGTTCGATATTTTATATCGGTGGTGAAAGCTTAACTTTAACTAATATATTAATGACATATAACAAGTGCAAGGTAAACATTAAAGAAATATTTATTAGTTGGCAAGAAATTAATAATAAGTATTTTTTTTTTGATTTTGAAGGTTTATTCATATAATCCGGAAACACGGATAGGGAGGCAAGAGAGCATACATGTGAATAAAGCTTTAATGAAACGGTATTGTTCATTATGATATTTACATACTTTTCGCAGTTTTCAGGTATGTACAATCTCTCAAAATTGATCTGTAGAAAGTATCACAGCAATTACAATTATCAAATTTTTACGTAAATGATCTGTTATATAATTTATTAAAGAAAATAACCTATTTATCTCGTAATTGTAATCGCTGTTATCTGAATTTTTTTTACTGCAAGTCAATATTTGTAAGGGACATGCATTTCTGAAAGCTGCGATGAAATAATAATTTCGATTTATTAATTATGTTAATATATATTTTTTATTTATTAGTTATTATATGATACAAAAAGCAAAGGATGCTGATGTTATTGGAATAGTTGTGGGAACTTTAGGCGTTGGTGATTTTTTATGTTATTATAGCTATTATAGATAATTTATATACAATTTTTAAATATTTAATCGATTTAAATTTGAATTAGCATCTTATTTAACTATAATATCGCATCTCAAAAAATTAATCATCCGTGCTGGCAAAAAACCATATACATTTGTCATGGGCAAACTTAACGTCGCAAAAATGGCCAATTTTATGGAAATCGAGTGTTTTGTTCTTGTAGCCTGTCCTGAAAATAGCTTGATTGATTCAAAGGTGATTTTCTTTTTACTAAGAAAGTAGATTTTTTTTATTTGTTAACAGTTTATGATATCGTTAGGAATTTTATCGTCCGATTGTGACTCCTTTTGAGTTAGAGATCGCTTTGAATCCGTAAGTTTAAATAAGAAATGTATTTTTCATTTCACTAGGATCTTGTCATATTTTTTATATATTTTAGATCAAAACAATGGACGGGAGAATATATCACGGATTTTCAGCTCTTGTTATCTAGAATTGGTAAGTTAGAGTATTATCAATTTATAAGTACCATTTTAACACAATTTTATTTTATGCCAGGTTCAAGCACCGAAGAATTTGAAAAGGTATTATTTATCAATTTATTCTGAGTAATATACGAAAAAAAAATTAATATTTTTAATAACAGTCCGTAGGTGAAGATGATGAACCACATTTCTCTTTAATTACCGGAAAGTACAAACAAGGTCGAAAATATGCCATTCAAGACGCATCTGGTATTCTTCATGTTCTTTGTATCATTTTTTTTATTAGCGACACAAGGTTAATTTGGATGTCACGTGGTAAATCATCACAGTAGAAAATGTTACGGGCAGCATCAAAGATTTAACATTACGCAATCAAAATACATCAGTATCAACTTTACTGAACAGTGCAGCAGGTGGGAATCATCAATAGACGAATGATTTGTGTGTATTTTATTTTATTAAATTTTTTGAGATTATAGGTGATTATCTTAAATCAAGGACATTTCGAGGACTAGAGCAACAAATCGGAGAAACAGAAATACGATTAGCCGAAGAGGGTCGATCTGGTATTGCTAAAGGTTATGCTAATGAAGAAATTTAATAATTGATTTAGGGATATTTTGAGAAACATAGAATATCTTTTATGATTTAGGCTTGATGTTATGGTTGTCTTCATCTGTAATTTGCCCTACATATATTACACAATTTTCAAATGATTATATCAATGTAAATGAATAGCAATACTTATCCAAGATATTATGTAAGAAAAAATTGAATGGTTACTTGGAAAAATATTGAAGAAAATCTTTAATATTAATTGGACACCAAGGATACCAAGGTTTCTGAATTGATTATTACAAGTTTTATTATTAAAAAGTCGAAGAAAATATTTGTCCGATAATCCGATAGATGTTTGTATAACTTCACATGACACTTGCAGTTTTTAAATCAAGTTTTCCAAAAGGACTATCCTGATTTGGCAAATAAATATGATTGGTTCAGTATGGCACATGCATGGGTGGGACAAAGATATCATAAAAAGCGAAGGTAACATACACCCTAAGCTACACAATAATACTCCACAAAGTAACCCCAACAATGTTCTTTTTGAATCCCTTCATTCAAAAATATAATTGTAACCTTCAAAATGAAAAAAAATGACAGACAGCTCAAAATGTATAATTTTGGGAAAGTAAAATTTCATGAAACCAATCAAATTTATGGGGAAATTAGCACAAAACACCTCTGCCCCTTTTTAACATCTTTTTCGTTTTGTCTCCAAACCCTACTTTTTTTAATGCAAATTGTTGGACGAACATAAAAATGGTAAATGATATCACAATGTTTAAATTGGGGGTTGAGGCTTCCCGTTGTGTCCCCATCTGTGTTCAAAAATTCTCTGCGGAGATTTGGGAATGCCACACTAAATTAGTATATCATTAATTATTACTTATGCCACAAATGGGATACCGCCAATTATTTTACATTTTAGAGACCCTAGGTCCAAATCTTTGCATCACTCCAAACAACCAGGTTGCACTAAAGTACTACTCAAGAGTCTAATAGCAAGGCAATATTTTTTTTTTTTTTTTTCTCGTATCTTTGTCAAACGGTAGTATATTCGTCGTTGCTTCGGCCTCAAAGTTATTTCCCTTTCACCATCGCCGCATCTGCTAGCCTTGCCTAAAACCTATTCTTACCAAAAATAAAGTGAACTCCTTTGTTCCAACCTACCAACACAACCTAATAAAGATGTCTGCTAACGTAAGTTTTTTGAATGTCTCACTTTACTGCGCGTTCTTATGAATTAGGTAAAAAGAGGTTCGAAAGTGATCGCTTTTTGGTTGTTAGATTTAAACCTTTTAATATTTAGATATATTAATTATAATTTATTTAGTTGTTTTTTATTTGTTGTATTGTTGTTATGTTGTATTTTTCTAAACACGAACTTTATTACTTTTTTTTTCTATAGGAACGCGAAAACCAGGTATTTGACCGCGTAAAGCTTTAGTATTTTTAAAAATATTTCTATTTTATTGTATATTTTGTCAGAGAAAGTGTGACAAAAAATTTTTCTTTTTTTTCACCTGATGTTGACCTCCAATAAAAAGGTTTATATGGCCAAGCTCGCCGAGCAAGCCGAACGTTATGATGGTAATAAAATTTATTGTGATTTTGAATGTTTTTCTCTTTTTTGTTCTATTTTTGGCTAAAGTTATGATGTCTCTAATCAAATCTGGTTGATCAGAAATGGTATCTTACATGAAGGTATTTGTTTCAAGACAATTCAATGATCCTTTTTTCTTTTCTTTTATTTTTTTTTTTTTTAAAAAAAATGATTAATATTTTAAAATTTATTAAATTATTATTTAAATTATAGGATGTTGCCAAGGTATATACACATTAAATTTCCGTAAAGCGTTATAACGGTCAAGGTCAATCTAACCTATTATTTTACATTGAATTGATTCATAAAATCATCCGCGTCAATCTTTTTTGACGATATATAATCATTAGCTCGGAGTAGAGCTTACCGTAGAAGAACGTAATCTTCTCTCAGTAGCATATAAGAATGTTATTGGTGCACGCCGGGCGTCTTGGAGAATTATTTCATCTATCGAGCAAAAGGAAGAAAATAAAGGTAACGAAACTCAAGTTCAGAAGATCAAAGCTTACCGCCAGAAAGTCGAAACCGAGCTCTCAGAAGTCTGTTCGGATATTCTCGCCGTATTGGATGAACATTTGATTCCATCTGCTGAAGCTGGTGAATCCAAGGTTTTCTATTATAAAATGTAAGCTAATTTAACGATAATTCCCCTTAGTAAAAATAATACAAGTTTTGTGAGGGAGATAGTAAGAAATGTTTGGTTGCCAATTTATGGTTTATGGCTTTCCGTGATGAGGATTTAGATTGAATGTCAAAGCATATTTTTAGATGCTCTATTATGATTAAAAAAAATTTTTTCCTTTTCCTTTTTTTTTTGGTAAATAATTTTTTGTCCATTTAATCTTATATTACAGGAAGGGTGATTATCACAGATATCTTGCCGAATTTGCCTCGGGTGAAAGACGAAAAGAAGCCGCCACTCAGGCTCATGAAGCTTATAAACACGCAACTGATATCGCCCAGACCGATCTTGCTCCAACTCATCCAATCCGGCTTGGGTTGGCATTAAATTTTTCAGTCTTCTACTATGAGATTCTCAATTCACCTGATCGTGCTTGTCATCTTGCCAAGCAAGCTTTTGATGATGCCATTGCGGAACTCGACACGTTGAGTGAAGAATCCTATAAAGATAGTACGTTGATCATGCAGCTGCTTAGAGACAACTTAACCCTCTGGACTTCAGACTTGCAAGATGGTGAGTAAATTTAGATTAAATTTGAAAAAATAAAATTGTATGAACTCATTCTTTTGCTTTTTCTTTTTTTTTTATTAAAATTTATAGCAGAGGGTGAGAAACAAGATGAACCCAGTAGTAATAAACAAGATGTCGAAGCTGAAGAATCAAAGTAGCACTAATTAGTTAATTATATATATTTTTTTCACACTTCATATATAAAATCAGTTTTCCCTCATATTTACATAAGCGTGATCAAAGTTTTTTTTATTTTTTTTTTCTTCGTTGGTTTATTGCAAGTTCGTTTTCCTCTGTGTTTGGTTCTTTTTATGGTTTACATTTGGGAATTCCTTTTGGTTCACAGGGTGTTGGTGTGTTGGTATCTTACTTAAAGGAGTCCCTTTTATTGGTGAAAATTTCTCGTGTTTCATCTCTTCCTTAACATTTCCCATTTTTATTATATAATACAATACTACCTTTATTAAATACAAGAAAAAAAAAAAATCAAAAAAAAAAAGAAAAAAAAAAAACACACGGTATCCATTGTTAATATAACGAAAACTTTATTTATCGATTAAAAATGTTCTTTTAATGTAAATTGAGGTGATAGTGAAATTTTGATTTTTGATTTATTTGTTGTCTCACTCTTGTCACATAAACTATATTTATAAATCAAAGGTTAAAAAATACACGGGGAGAATAAAAAATTGCTTGTATTAATACAAACGAAAAAATAAAAACTTGGTCACGTCACAATAATAAAACCTGTTATGCAATAATTTTTTTTAATAATGCGAGACATCAAATTACACGTTTCATTATTTAAAATCGTGTAACGTACTCATAAAATATCGTAATACCTCAAATTTAAACGTTAAAATAAATATTGCATTTTTGAAAGTAAATCGAGAGGTTTTGGTGCGGTAGTCTTTTTACAGTATAAAATTTTGATTGTTTTTATAATGGTACGTGTTCAACTTACAATTACGCGTCAGATTCTATCATGTTATAATGGACTTTTATTTTATTAAAGGGATCGCGAGCTAATTTATTATCAGGAGCTGCTCCATTTGCTGGTACAGGATCTTTAGAGCCAGATGTAGAAACTGCTCAAGAAACAAATGCAAGGGGTAACATGACACCTCAAAATGTACAAACTCAGTCTAATACTCCAACTCAGAGCATTTGGGAACAATCCAGGTAAATTTTTAAGAACAGAGAATAAAATTCGATACGAAATTAATTTTTTAAAAAAGTTATCGAATTCATATCTAAATTTCAATTATATTTATAATTATTATTTGAAATATTGATATAATTTTACTTTTTTTTTTTAAAAAAAAAATGTTTATAGTCATCCAGTAGCCTTAGCATTTCATCTATTATTCCGTACAGGAGCTTTAGTTGTATACCTATTTGGTTCCATGTTTTCTGATAATTTTCCTTTAATCTTCATCGTTTGTGTCTTATTATTGTCATTTGATTTTTGGACTGTTAAAAATGTGACTGGTAGATTATTAGTAGGGTTAAGATGGTGGAATGATATTCAACCCGATGGAACAAATGTTTGGATGTTTGAAAGTAGAGATGTATGTGATCTTGTTTCTTCTTTTTTTGATTTATTTAAAAAAATTAATTTTTAAAACTTTAAATTTTCCCTTTAGCCTTCAAGACCTGTGAATCCCGTTGATTCACGTATATTTTGGATTTCACTTTATGTTACAATAATTTTATGGTTAATATTAGCTTTCTTTAGATTATTCAGTCCTGAATGGCTTTTAATTATAATCGTTGCCATAGCATTAAATGCTGCCAACGTTATTGGTTACACCCAGTGTGATAAAGATGCAAAGAAAAAATGGGCGACAGGTTTTGCAGCTAGAGCGGCTACATCAAGTCCAAGTATGGTTGGAAGATTGTTTTCAGCTGGAATTGGTAGATTTTTTTAAACAGTAATATAGTTAAAAATTATATAATCGTAATATATTTCTTTTTTCTTTTTTTAAAACAAACATTTTTTTAAAAAAAAAAATCCTTAAAAATATATCATTTAAAATAACTGATGATATATATAATATTGTAAAAAATTTTTAAATTAGATAATTCATATTAAATTTACTATTTTTATTGTTTATTTTATCGATTTACTTTTTATATAATATAATGTTATAATATTTTTTTTAATTTTTATTGTTGGATACAAAATGATCCTTTGTGCACATAAAATATAAAGCAAATTGAAATTAAGTTTTATAAAAAAAAAATAATATATTTTTTTTATTTACTAAAATAATGTCATACTGATGCTGGTTCATACCTTTATCATCATACAATGTAAAATAAGTTAATCGTTTGATATAATATTATGAATTAAAAAGAGAGATTAGGGATTTACTTACCACTGTACCAGAAGATGAAGCGATACGTGGCCAAAGGTCAGCACATTCTTTTCCCACCGGGCCAGTAATAGCAGAACCTTTCATTTCCCCCTTGGGATTCACAATCACTCCGGCATTATCTAAGAATTACAATTATCGTGATTCATTGATCCTAAAAAATATGAAAAAAATTAAAGGAAGGAAATATACCTTCAAAGTAAAGGAAAACGCCATCTCTTCTACGCCATGGTTTTCTTTGACGAATCACTACAGCGGGCATAACTAAAGAAAGGTTTTACAGATCAAATAAGAAAAATTAATAGGAAAGAAAAAAAAAAAATTTGGATCATTAGAAATTTTTTTTCAAAAAAAAAAAAAATCCCCATCAATCATACCTTTTTTCCTTAAATCAGGTTTTCCTTTCTTAACAGTGGCCATAACCATGTCACCAACACCAGCTGCAGGTAATCTGTTCAATCGACCATGGATACCTTTGACTGAGATAACGTACAAATTTTTGGCTCCAGAATTATCAGCACAGTTCATGACAGCGCCGACAGGAAGACCCAAGGTCATTCGAAACTTGTTACCAGAAGCTAAAAAAAAAAAAAATCAATCAATGAAATTAAATGACCTAAATATTATTAAAAAAAATTATTTATTTATTTATTTATTTAGAATATTTACCACCGCCACGCCCTTAATGGTGAAAAAAAAAAGATAATTGATTTAATAATTGTAGCTTGTTTTAATAAATAAATAAAAAATACAACAAAAGATCTTGGAAGCAGCACTCTTTATAAAAAATCAATTGTTTCGCAAGCAATCTCTTAAATAAATGAAGATATTTCTACCTCTTTTGGACATTTTAACTTATTAAAAGTGGTGTTAGTATGTGAAGAGGAAGTTCATCCAACCACCAAAAAAAAAAATATCTTATATTGCATAGATGTCACGTGACCGATCAAAAAAGTTTATCTCAAATACAATTCTCAATTTTCGATTGGTTTCTTTTTTTTCCGAATTTTTAAAGTTTACCATTTCAGTAGTCTTAAAAAAAACTAATAACTATACTAAGTTACTGGTTTTGAATCAATATAATACTCGCGCGATCCGCAAGTTTTATAACTTATACGCCCTTAATCGCTTATTTGATTAACGGGCCAATTGAAAAAAAAAACGCGATCAGTTTTTTTTTCTTCTTAGAATGTTGACGGTAAATATGGTATATTTTTATTTCAAATCATGTAAGTTATTAGTTGGAAATTTAACCCGAACTTACATTTGTCAAAGAAGCCACCGCTTCCGTCATTTCGAAGGATGGGAGTACCAAGTGTAATACCACGTATACTTCGCATACCTTTCTTTATCCTCAGAGGTTTTAGCTTAGTACCCGCCAGCTACGGTGTTGTTTCATGTATCTCATCGGCGAGTTATGTTAACCATCGTGATGCAAGTAACATTTTGGAATTGAGAAGCACCGAGTTGGACTATTGGTTAGGTGCCATGTGGGTAAGTAATTTAATACCACTTGAAAGTTTTTTTTTACAAACAAAACCTGAAAATAGAATTACATGTATCAGCTTTATTTCTAATAAAACAAGTTTTCGAAAAATTTTTTTCAAATATTGAGTTGATCATGCAGTGTATTTTAATGGGGGAGGGGCTGTTCCAATTCTAATTCTTAGTATCATGTACTCTTATTATTTCAAAAGGTTTAATTACATACAATAAATCAGATTTAATTTTGAAATTCGATCTATAATTGAAACTCAATCAGTTTACCGTAAATTAACTGAAATCTGTAAATTTAGTCTGATGATGGGATGGTTTTGTATAAAACCCTATGACTATAACCAATTTGATATTCGGTTTTCATTTCATTCTTTTCTTTTTTTTTTTTCTACTTTTTTTTACGTAAATACTTTTTAGTGCCTTTTAGCCGGTCTTTGGAGTTATTGGCTTGCAGATGGTCTCATGCATCGATGGCTCTTTTATTATGAAGTCTACAGCGCAATGATCCGTTTAATTTCTTTACAGACAATTAATTGTGTTATTACAGCCTTCGTGGTAACACATTATGGTCCAGATGAGCCAATTTGGTCATGGATGTTTTGTAGCGTTGTTTTAGCCATATGCGATGTGATTCAGTGGCTTTTTACCTCAACCACGAAATTTCAAAAGGATGATGATCCAGAAAAAATAAGACAATTAATTTGGAAGGAAATATTTCGTTATATATTCGTACCTCTTGCAATCTTTACATTTATTACAATGATTTGTCTTCTTGAAGAACAATCAAGATTCCGATATACTACTTCACTGATACCTCCGCCTAGAGATATAATTTGTAATCGTGAATGCCCATTACATTGTATTACTGATAGCAACTAATTTATTCCTGTATTATAATAAAGAAATTTAACGGATGAGAAACTGACCCTAATAATGAAGAAAGTTTTGAAGGGGATTTGAGAGCTTGGAAATGATTTAAATTTCGAAGGGTTCAATGGAAATCTTTATGGTTACTTAAATGAAAGAATTCGCTCGCATTGATCTTTTTACTTCATTATTTCCATGAAACAATCCATTTTTTTATATAATAATAAATCTCTTTCCATGAAACTTAATTCAGCCTATTCCGATTTACTAAAAAAGTTACCCCCGATATGGATATGTTTTACAAGGAAGTGCAATCCGTTATCTGAATATGAAATTAGCAAAATTTAACTCGATCGTTGAATATTTTTTAAGGCACAAGTATGCATAAAAAAATTTATTAATTATAATTTGTACTAGTTAATTATTCTTTATATGCAATAATATTTGTAAAGAATATTTATTCAATACTTCATTTTCTATTTAAAAACAATAGTATATTACTCTAATTATAAAGAAAGATTGTGTGCAATTCCACGAAAAAAATCCATTGTTTTAATTCTCATGAAATCGAATTCTATTTATCCAATTTCAAGGACGTGTCCAGGCCAATTCAAATTCTGCGTGCATGATCCCGAGGTTTAATACAATTATATAATGTATAAAAATTTATAATATAAGCTAATAAATTAATTATAACTATTAATTTTTAATCAAAAACTTTGATATAACGATTCTCCATTGGTTTATTATAAAAATTTTTGAACAAAATTATTTGACATAATTCCTCCTTTTTATTGCATAGGTCCATATAATAAATTTTATGTTTGAATAAACTATTATTTATAATTTTATTTATTATGATTATTTGAAATATAAATCTTATCTTTAAAATTTTATTAATAAAAAGAAATTGATTAATTTTTTAAAAGAATATTTTAAAAAATGGATTTTAATTAAATTATTTATAATTTCTATTTTTGATTACATGTAAATGAATTATTGATTATAAAAATAATAGTTTACTTTTTTATTGTTATTTTATCAATTTTTTTTTTAATAAGCATTTTATAATAAAAAAAAGAAAAGAAAAGAAAGAAAAGAATTGTTTATGATAAAGTTTTTTTTACTTTATAAATAAATAATTTTTCATATTATTTAGTTTTAAATATAATTTATTATATTTATTAGTATTACTAATTTATTTTATTTAAATCAATTATATTAATCATATACTTAATATTATAAATATTTCTAATCTTAATTAGTAGTAATTATTATTGTATTATAAATCATAAAAATTTAAATTTAAAAATACATTAAAAATTTGATTTTTATAATTTATTATTTTATTATTATTTGAAGAAAAATAATTAACTATATTATTAATAGGATTGAGTTTGAATTACTATTAAAGTTTGAACTAACTAAATATAGCATATATATAGATAACCATTTTATTGAATTTGCTTAATATATTTTCTTGTATTATGTCTTGTTTTTCACATATTTTACATAAATATTTTTATTTAATGTTTTCATTATTTATAATTTATAATTCTATAAAAAGAAATATGCTTCTTATTTACATTTATATTATGGTCCAATGTAAAAAGATTTGTACCTCAAATAAATCACCAATAAAAAAAATTTTAATAAGCAAATTTTTTTTTTATTAAAATAACATCAATATATATTGGAAAAGACATGATATAAGAATTATCTATATTACATGATCATCATCAGAACTACTATATTCATCAAATTCGTCATCAGTTAATTGCATATTTTCATCATACTCTAAATATTCTTTCGCATGTTTCAATGCTTTTTTCCAAAAACTAATAATAACATGTAAAGTAATTTTTTTTTTAAATGCATCTAAGAGGGTATTCCTAACTGACAAAAGGTTTGGATGTGGACCCGAACATGCAACTTCACCCTTAAATACTGTCCAAACACCTTCTATTGGTTGGAGTTCATAATAATATGGAGGGGTAAAAGAAATTTCATGTTCATACTGCTCTGCAATTTTTATACAAGTAAATGGTACCTTTTCTTTATTTATTTTAACCAACTCCAAAAGTTCTGGTCTTTTTAAATCACTAAAAAAAGAAATTTCATGAGCAGTTAACCAGTCAATTAATTCCTGTTTTTTTAGCATTTGAAGATGGAATGGTTTCTTCTCGCCGTTTGTGATAACTTGCTCCATCCATATGAATATTAATGGGTCCATAATTTTCATGAAGTGATTTACAAAGAGTTGAAAAAAGACCCTCAAAAATGTTTGCATTGAAATTTCCATGGTAATCCATTTGATCAAGAACAATGTTGGCATCTTTAACAATGTCAGGAATATTATTCTATTCTTTAGCATTATATTTTTTCGTTCACGGTTACTTGGAGGTTTGATGGTTGGATCCCAAATATGAATAGGACTAGGAACAAGCTTACCATGTAGTTTATTAGAAGTTCCATTTTTAAATACAATAATTGCTCCAAAAATTACTACTAATGAATCATGCCCAGGTGCTAAAACAACGCTGTGATAGGAAACCTAAGTATTTCATGAAGTATGATGCAAATGACAATATGATTCATCATGAAAAACTTCTGAACAGTTGGTACATCATTTCTACCCTCTAAATTAGTAAAATGGAAGCAGAGGTAATGGCAACGGTATGCAATATTGTTTGGAGATTCATGAAGAATGTCTCTGCATTCTCCTTGGCTGAAATAATAGCTCAAATAATGTAACAAATGAAGAAGCTTCCATTTAGAAAGCTTATATCCATTTTCAGAAAGAAATTGGCGTAATATAGGTATGTTAAGTTGTTTGGCCTTTTTGTTACATTCCAAAATCTTTGTATGCAAAAGTTCTGAAATGTTTTCGCTAGGTTCTGATTTCTGACGTCCAAGGGTTTTATGCAGAGTAAAAGTATTGTCGCCACATTTGTTCCAGTCTAAAACTATGCTTCCAACTGTTCCTTCATTTACACCCAATACCTTAGCAACCTGCTTGCGTAATGTGAGCTTTTGATGATCATCTTTTCTTAAATTATCTCCCAAAAAATAATGGTAAACGTTAATTACCATTATTTTTTCATTATTAGTTAATGGTGCGCCATTCTGTTTCATGAAATTTTTATTAAAAAAATAATAATTTTTTTTAGTAGAGTGTTGCAGAGTATAAGAATTAACAAAAAAAAATCAGCTCACCATTTTAGATTGTACTATAGATATCTTAGCGCATATTATTTCCATTTTGGTGAGATACAAATCTTTTTGCACTGGACCATAAAAGTATATAAAAAAACTTCTTAATATAAAATTTTATAAATATTGTATTAGTTTAAAATAAAATAAAGAACTATATATTATTCAGACATATTAATGATTGAAATCTTATTATCTATCCATTCAAAATTTAAATCAATATATAATTGATATCTTTTATTACATTTGTATTTTGAATTTTATAATAATTTCTAAACCTATTTTCTTATATATATCAATTAGTATGCATGTCCAATTTATGGTGTTGATTACAATTAAAAAGTTTATATAATCTTTAAATTTGAAAAGTTCTTTCTACATAATCTATTTCAAGTTATAATATAAATGTATTTTTTTAATATTTTTTTTTTGTATTTTTTCTATTTAAAAGAAGTTGAGGTTTTATCTTTTGAGCTTTTCTATAATATTTTATTCTATTAGAAATTCTGTCTATTTTTTAATATTAATATCTTAGATTCTTTTACTTTAATTTTTAAACCAATAATAAAATATTAAACTTTCTTTATTTTTAACAAACCTTTTAACAAAATCATTTTATCAAACTATATATAACACTTTTTTAATAAAATTAGTTTTATTTTTTATATAATAAAATAAATATATAAAATCAAATTTGCTTTAACAAAATATAATAATAAAATATTAGTTTATTTACTATTATTATTTTTATTATATTTATAACAAGATATATATTGATAAATTTTGATTTTTATTCTATTTATTCTCTAATGCTTCTTTAATTTGATCTAATTAATTACTACAGTGAGACCTCTCTAAATACACCCTCCCTAAATGTACGCATATATATTTTTTCTATAAATGCACATTCCACACAGCCTCAGTATATAAAGATTATACAAAATTTCTCTCTTTAAATGCACACTCTCCTTAAATGCACATTTTTTCAAATTTTCACTATGGTCCCAAGGGGGGTGCATTTAGAGAGGTCTCACTGTAGTTAGATATTTAGAATAAGTCAACATAATTAAGATAATTTTATCTTCAGGTTTAGTTTTACAATAAATTTATTTCTGTTTTTTTCTTGGCAATCCATCTTGATTTATTAAGTTTTTTGAATTAATTAACATCTATTAGTCAAAAATAACTTGATTAGAATTTTTTACATTTGAATGTAATGTTGATATAATAGCAATTTAAAAGGATTTTTTTTTGAAGTTTGATTATTAGGTTTATATCTTATAACTCCTAATTTTCTTTTTCTAACTTTATTGCTTTTTTATACTGAAATAATATCTTGTAGAAAATTGCTTCTATTTTTAAGGTTCTATCAGAAAAATAATTATTAAGATATATAACACTAATAGCTGTAAACTGATAAAAAAAATAGTATTCTATAAAGGATTTTGATAAAGATTATAATCATTTCAATAACAAAATGCTAATAAAAATTCATGTATTTGGTTTTACATAATAATTTATGATTCTTTATCTAATTAATCTATAAGGATCATTAAAATATTCTAATAATAAGATTCCTATATCATCTTTTTTATTCTGGGTAAATTTGATTTATAACTTTAGATTATTAACATTAATTATATTTTTAGTAATATTCTTTTTTATATATTTAACTTCAAATATTTCAAGTATTTTATTAAATGCAAAATAATGATCTTTATATTTTCTTCATTATCAAATTTAATTGATGAAATACATTCTAACTTCTTCTTAAGTTTTAAATATTGAGCTAATATTTC